ACCTATGGCACTTTTGGAGCAGTTATAAGTGCGAGAGATAGAGTACTGCATTGCTGCTATGAATCATGGTTTTGCTCTATGTTATACAAGTTATGTACTGAGTTTGTAACAACGCCAAGTTAATGTTACAAAATTAGCGTTTTAGTAATTGTTCCTCTTTCCAGCAATGGTGTAAGATTGCAAAAGCATGAAGAAATTGCTGTTACCAGATAATAGTTAAGGTTTTTTAATGTATTTTTTGGTGTGTATATTTATATATATGTTTTAATAAAGTAAAAAATCTGTATTTACGAACTGTGTGTTACATTTTATAAGTCTAAGTATCATGACATCTCTGCATGTAACGTTAAAATTCCTTTGCATCGAGTTGAGTCATGATTTAAATGTTTGCTTGCATTAGACATAAACTTAAGTACAGCAGCGTGAAATGAAAAGAAGAGAATGTTGTGTTATGTGAGAATTATAAAATATATCCATTTATAACATGGCTTATGAATTTGATGCAAATTTTAACATTTTAGTACAGGTTTCTATACTTAGTTAAAATTTAAAGATATACAAGATATGCTCAGCCTTCAGTTCCATTAATCTTGCTCTTCGAAACTTTCCTATGGTGAAAGTCTAGTTCTGCCTGCTGGATAATTTGCTGAGAATTTCTCGACGGATTTTCTGGAATATTTGTTATATGTAAAGATAGAGAAGTCAGAAACTATGATTTTCTTTTCCTGTTAATGTGACTTGCCTGAGGACGAAGAGGCATCGCAATCCGAAAAGTCTTAGTAGAGATTAGGATTGTAGCATAGTTTTCTAAGCAAGCTAATTCCTGGTCAAAATTTGTATGAACTTTGTCAAACTTGCCCCATACTTTGATTTTGTCCTGAAGCCATATCGTAAAATAGGTAACTTAAAGTGATAAGAAAGTTTTATTTGTTACTATAGAAGTTTATTAAATAACTTATTTGTGTGTTTTTAAATGTACTGTTTTGTTTCTAAGAGAAAAAACTACGTTCAGTATCATTCAGTCATGGCCGAGTTTGACTTATTTCACAGTCTACATACAAACTCTAATGAATGTTCTGTTTTGTGATCTTGATAGTATATTTTTTCAATTTAGTTTTAACAGAAGATTCATAATGATATCATTTTTATAAAAGATTATTAATGGTTACTTATAACAATATAAGGACTGCTTATTATTGTCCTGTAATAATACAGAACAATAATAACTGTTTTCTGTTAGTTATTTATAGCAATATACAGACTATTATCTGTTAGTTATCTATAGCAATATAAAATCTGTTATGGATTGGCTGTCCAGAACAACATAAGAACCGTTATTTATAAGTTACCTATAACAATATAAGGACTGTTATGTATTTTTTGCTATAACTATATAAGGACTGTTTTCTCTCGGTTGTGTAGATCAATGTACGGAGTATGAGCTCTTGGTTACCTAGAACAAGATAACCCTGTTATCCTTTAGTTACCTATAGCAACACCATAACTGCTATATCTTTGTTGTCTAGAACAACGTCAGGACTGTTATCTGTCAGTTATCCATAATAATATATGGACTGTTTTCTGTTAGTTACTTAAAACAATACAAAAACTGTTATTTCTCGGTTGTCTAGAACAGCACAAGAACTATAATATGCTGTTTACCTATAAAAATACAAGAACTACTTTCTCTCGGTTATCTAGAACAACATAAGCATTATTACTTAGATATTTCTAACAATATAAGGACAAAGTATAGAACAAAGTACGAACTGCTCCCTGTTACTTATTTACAACAATATAAAGTCTGTTATATATTAGTTGCCTATAATAACAAAATGACTTTTATTTATTTGTTACCTATAACAACATAAGGACTCTTACCTACTTGTTACATATAACAACATAGAGACTATTATCTATCGGTTGTGTAGAACAATGTACGGACAGTGAGCTATTGGTTACTTAAAAGAATGTAAGGACTGTTATAATTTAGTTACCCATAACAATGGCAGAAATGTTATAGCTTAGTTATCTAGAACAACGTAAGGACTGTTATGTGTTAGTTACCTAGAACAATGTAAAGACTGTTATGTGTTAGTTACCTAGAACAATGTAAAGACTGTTATGTGTTAGTTACCTAGAACAACGTAAGGACTGTTATGTGTTAGTTACCTAGAACAACGTAAGGACTGTTATGTGTTAGTTACCTAGAACAACGTAAGGACTGTTATGTGTTAGTTACCTAGAACAACGTAAGGACTGTTATGTGTTAGTTACCTAGAACAACGTAAGGACTGTTATAATTTAGTTACCCATAACAATGGCAGAAATGTTATAGCTTAGTTATCTAGAACAACGTAAAGACTGTTATGTGTTAGTTACCTAGAACAACGTAAGGACTGTTATAGCTTAGTTATCTAGAACAACGTAAAGACTGTTATGTGTTAGTTACCTAGAACAATGTAACATCTCTAATGTCCTTGATTTCCGAGAACAAAGTAAGAAAGTAAACTTTCGTTTATCTGGAACGATATCAGGATTGCGATATCTCGATTCTCTAGAATAATGAAAGGACTTTATCTTTCACGAATCTGGAAACAATGTGAAGGCTTTGTTTTATTGCTTGCCTAGAACAATATCTATACTGAATTCTTCGAAACTAATACAGGATGGCTCATAACTGTCTTTCCCATTTTAAAATTTAATAATTATATAACTAAAGAGATACAGCCAAGTATTTTTTAACATCTTGTAGCCTAACTCAAACCGCTTTTATTGTCATGTTTTCTTTCACTCCAGTGAGTAGTGTTATATCGTAAAATGGGAACCATGCAAAAAAAGTTTCAATTGATTGGATTTGTTGGGGTGGGCCAATTCCGTGGCCTCCGCATTCGACAGACATCACGCCACTAGACTTATTTCTTTGGGACTATGTTATAATGACATCATGTATCGCACACCTATAGCAAACATCACGGAGCTAAAAACAAGATAACGGATGCCATTGCCACTGTAACTGTGGACATGTTGCAGCAAACCTGGACTGATATCCAATATTGGTTAAATGTGCTGAGAGCCACTAATGGTGCATCCGTAGAAATCTCCTGACAGGTCAATAAAATCTGTTTGCGTTTAACTACTAGATGTTGGAAATTGCATGGTTGTATTTTTTAGTTATGTAACAATTAAATTTTAAAATAGCAAAGTTAATTTTGGACCACCCTGTATAACGACTGTAATCTGCGTTTACGCATAAAAAACAAAAATCCTCATATCAATTTCTCTTTCATCAGTAGTCCTCTGCATCTCGATTAGTGTCCAGGTGAAATAGGTTACTTAAGCAACATCCTTATACACGACACTTTACTAAAGTTGTATTTCAATTACATCTTACGGAAACAAGACTGACACAATTTAATGTTGTTGTTTGAAGTTAAGCACAAAGCTACATAATGGGCTATCTGTGCTCTGCCCACCACGGGTATCGAAACCCG